GCTGTTCACACACACTAAATTACCCTTCTAACACATATACTTGCACGTCTTGCACATGTACAGGCATAGTCCTCTAAGGCAATCAAAGCACATCAAGGGTCCTCCCTATGTGTGATTTTAAGTTCCATTAAGGAACCTTTGAGAGTGACTATTTCATAATGGCTCATACTTGATAAAAGCATTTCAAGAGCAATTTATATGCCCAAGACTAACATCTGAAAAAACAAAAAAACAAAAAAAGAACAAAAGATAGTGTGAGGAGCAAACCAAAATTATTTTTTAAAGTTTCTAATAGCAGCAAAAATTAGACAATTTGTAAAAAGGGTAAATTTAACAATTTATAAAATAATTTAATTTTAAAGTAATTAGGAAAATACAGAAACTTTTTTTGTTAAGATTTGGTATGTTTTGTGTTAGAAATTTTTTGGTCCATTAACATTTACTTTTTTATATGAACTGAGAAATATAATTGGTGCTTAGACAGTCTCTACTTCTATCACTTAAAGTGCTAAAATTAGCATTCGAAATATACCCTGATGCTCCAAGAAGCTATATAAAAAATACAGTTGTATAGTTCCAAAAATCTCTAACTTTGTTCTTTTAATTTGATTTGATTAAAATCAAAATTTTAAATTTGATCTCTCTTGACCTCACCTACCAAAACCACAGTGATATTTCAACTTATGTGTTATAGATGGCAAAATAATTTGCCTATCTTTAGTTATTTAAATAATATGACATAAAATAGCTTCTAGCCACTTCTTTTTTCTTTCTTTTGAGGTCACCAAAAGCTAATTTAGGACCCACTAATAGAAAAGGAATATTGCTTTTAAACTTAGTTTATTCTTTGCTGATTTTATTTAAGACAGGTAAGGCCTCTCTCTGGTTCTGCCTCAGAAAAACAGGAGCCTCAGCTATTAGGCTGGAAATAGTCCTCTAGACAGACTTGAAGCCTACTGTTTTCAGGGGTTCCCTGTCTACAACCCAATGTAGAGAAACAGAATGTAAAAACTCTTTCCACTGACCTACACAAACTCACGGAGCAGGGGCTGAAGAGAAAACCCTCTTTTGGATTAACCAGGTGCAGATTTGTGGCCTTAATTTTGAAGGCTATGATCATCTAGTTATGAAACATTAAATGTAACTGTTACTCTGTTTCCAGCATTATTTAGATTACAAGTAAAGTTAAGGAACTCTAGAAAGGCCATCCAGTTTGCCAACTTTACAAACCTGGCTTAATGCCAGGATTTAAGAGAAAGGTAATGGTGAGGAAGCATGAGATAGGAGAGCTGAAATATCAGTGAAGTTCCTCTTGGCTATTCAGAAAGAGTCTGTCATCAGTGACCCAAGAATTCAAGCTATGTTAAAGAAGTCTCACGTGGGATTTGGAATGAAGCTCTAGAGAAGGCGGGAGAGTCACCTAGATCTCATTTACTCTGGCTTACGTGCGGGGAGGGTAGTGGGAAGATTCTTCCATTACTGTGATGCCCTTCATCAGCTTCCCAGAGAGGCCCAAATAGACTTTCCACTGGGGTAGGAAAGGAGTGGTGAAGTCCAGGTGCTGAAAGTCCCCGGTCAAGAGAATGTCACTGTTAATGACTAACAGGCATTGCCCAACTCTATGTACCAGTCCTCATTAATGGATATGAGGCTCACTTTCATGTTACCTTGTCAGCAGCACTGTGAGGAGGGGCTTTGCTTCACTTGTCAGTTGAGGAAGCCTCTGAGCAGTTTAACACCTTGCTTGTGGTGGCAGAGTAACAGGGTGATTCTGGAAGGCTCCTCTGCCGGGCTCTGGCATTCGTCTTTCCTTATGCCCTAGCATGGTTCATAACTCATTCTGTGGATATGCCAGTCCGTAGCACAAACCAACCTGCTGGTTGAAGTCTTCCTTTTCATCATTGTTTTTTCTCTTCCACCTCCATTTCCTCCCAAATATCTTATTATAAATGCAGATTTTTTTAAGCAGGTAAAAATGAAATAAGAGATTGAGTTGGAGGAAAGGAAATGACAGGGAAGATCTTTGTGTTGAGAGGAAAGAGAGAAAAAAACACAAACCCATCATGACAGCAAAGCTTTGGCTAACGTGCACAAGTGCTGTGAAAAAGAGGCAGATGTTTTTTAATCCCTTAGTCATAAATCATATTGGGACATCATTCTTTTTGTTTATTTGTTTAGGCTGAATGCAAATAAGCATTTGATTAGTTTCATTGTAACACAGTTGGCTTCAATGCTATTTATCAGAAAATGGAAAAATATTTTTATTTGCTTAATTACTAGCTAATGATTTGCTATTGAGTTTCTTTTTCAATAGTTTGATGAATTGCATTCAGAAGGCACCTCACTTCCTGTAACATTGCGTTCTTTGATCCCACTAGAAATTTTTGTGTTTTAGGTTTTCCAGTCTCTCCTTGGATAGCAATGCTTTTCCCAACACCCTACCTTCATTTCCTTCTTTCTGTGCAGACACACATGCAGTGGTGCACATTCATCTGCCTAAAAGAATGTGGAGATTCCAAGGTTATTCTAAAATGGATCAATTTCAGGCTCCACGTTAATTTATATGTAGAATAAAAACATCTTCCTCTTTTGATAAGCCTTTCCCACCCTTGTTAACATACCGTGCTCTGTAACTGCAAAGGGACGGAAGATGAAGATATATCACGTTTTAGAGCCAGTGGTAGAAGTGTGTTTTATTCGCATTCACAATTTCCCCACTTGCTTAAATTATTCTTATTCATACAGTAAATACAAAAGAAAAAGAAAACCAAGGAGTTAAATTTAAAGAAAATAAAGCTAGTGACTTCAACTAGTAAAACTGAATTGCTTGCTTTTAAATTTGTCACATAACAGCCTCCATTTCCTCAGTGCAGAAATCATGACAGAAGATGTTGCCAGATTCTACACATTTTGGCTGCCTTTCATTCCAAGCAATTGCAAAATTGTAAATGGGGGAAAGGGCAGTTAGTTTGACCTGATACATTTTAATAGGGTCCATGATGGTGACATCATTCTGTTGTTTAAGCCTTGAATAAATGATACTCAATATCCATGAATGAATGAATTCACATTTGTTTTAATGGGGGTTGGCTTTGTTTTCTGGATGATGATTGATTCACTAATAACCAGAAGTAACTCAGCTAGGTCCTGAGATAAATGTTTTTAATGCCCATTGTAGCCTTAATGTGGGAAGTAACTTTGAAAAAATAATTTTCAAATAAATAAAAAAATCAAATACATATATTTTTCTGCTATATATATATATAGCCATATATGTTTGTTTTTTATTTACTTCATTAGACCTAGATAATGAGAATTAGATTATAAGACACAAAGTTGTTAATATCAATGGAACGTGCATCTGCTATATTGATTTTTTCATTAATGATTTATTGAATTGTGTTCTTATAATCCTATATCTATATCTTATTATAAAACAATAGTTTGCACACATCTAAGGTTAACATTTGCAAGACACTGGAAAAAACGTTAAGATGTCATTTCATACACTACAGTCTGCAATAATGATTTCAGTTCAAATCTGTCCCCATATCTTTTGCCAACAAAAACTGATTTATAAAGCATGTTCCCCAATCCAGAACCAGATAATATGGGAGATAATTACTAAGCCTGGTTAGAGTTTAAGAGCAATTTCCTGAGGCACCACTTGTAAAAGTGAAAGAACATACATTGGAATGAGTGCTGGTCAGCTATATACGAAAAAGAAAAATGAAAAATTGTTACATAGAGCCTGTTTTCCAGTATTGGTTTAAGTAATAATCACAATGTCCCTGATGATCCCATAGAACCTTTCATAGTGTGATTTTATTATATAGACTCACTAACTCTTTTTAAGCTTTTTAGGCACATAGAAAAAGCCAAATTAATCATTGCAGAATTATATATCATTTATTTACCAACATGAGTGCTTTATCATGTAAAAGTAGTAGTGATTAAGATGTAAAAAAGTATTTGGTTTTCTTCTGGAAAAATATAAAAAGTATTTTTATTTCAAGTAAGAAAAGAATCAGCTCTATTAATAAAATATTTTATTATCTTATTGTCTTATTAATGTGTTCTTATTTTAAAAGAACACTGAAAACTGCAAGATCATTGTTCAATGTTTTTACTGAAAGAAACCCCTTAAATTTTAGGGGCAAGCTCAGTGGCCCATGCCTGGAATCCCAGCACATTGGAAGGCCAAGGCAGGCAGCTCACCTCAGCTCAGGAGTTCAAGACTAGACTGGTCAACATGGTAAAACCCCATCTCTACTAAAAATACAAAAATTAGCCAGGCATGGTGGCTGGTGCCTGTAGTCCCAGCTTCTTGGGAGGCTGAGGCAGGAGAACAGCTTGAACCCCGGAGGCGGAGGCTGCAGTGAGTGTTGATCCTGCACTGCTCTCCAGCCTGGGAGACAGAGCAGGGCTCCATCTGAAATAAATACAAAAATTGTAAAGGAAAATTAATTTTGAAGATTTAACATATAATTCAATCTAAGAAAAGACAGCAATATATTTGTTTTAAAATTTAGTTTAAGATAAATCAGTGATAGGTATGTTTAATCTTGCTTTAGTAAACTACTACTAATTGGTGTTCACATTCTTCAGGGCCTCTAAATGTGTACCTGCCTAGAAAATAATGACATTTTCCTCCTATAAATTTTGACAAAACCAAATGAAGGACTGAGCAAAGCTTTGGCAAATAAAAACAAAGAATAACTGCCTAATTTAGGCTGTTTGAGGTTTTTTTGTTTTTTTTTTTAAAGTATCTTATCCATTTAATTTTGACTTATTTACTTTGTATAAATTATTAGTTTTAGTTATTTGATTTGTCCATCCACAGCTGGAGAAAAATGGAAAATTTAAAAAGATAAATCTAGGTTAAAATTAAAACCCCCCACCTAGATATTTGGTACAGAGAAGATACTGTCATAGCATAGTGGATTGTGAAAACAAAAGCCTTTATCTTTTTGTGGCTTAAAGAAATCAAAACACAGTTATTTCTTACTTAAATCTTTATTAAAAGAAAAAAAAATCGATTTAAAACAATGAGTAACAACAAATTTCATTAAATATTAAACATTTTAATTATCAAAGATATTTAGACAATACGTTTCTACCATTTCTGCACAGCAGAAGCACACCGATTATAGAGCTGTCATGTGCTCATGTGAGTTTATTTTTGGCATAAAAGTATCTAAAGTCACACTTAAACAAATGTGATAATATTTTATAAACTGATAGTAACTTACTGTTGATTGATTCTCAATGCTTTCACAAATTATCATTATATGATTGACATTCTCTTAGGGTTAATACTTCTATGGACTCTTTCTGTAACACTGAGTAACCAACTGAATTAATTTCCTTAAAAGTTAGTAGTACTGATCAAATTATTTAAAACTGACTTGGAAATTATGTTCCTGTTTATAGTTGCACAATAAATTAACATATTGTAAGTAAACTGATTATTTCATACCAAAGGTTAGAAAATGAAATGGCATATATAGAATAGGCTTTGATGAAAATAAGTGATTGTTTAAAAGGGAGCTATTCAGTACATGACATTCATGAGCACCCTTTCGAGGAGTAAAGTTTCCCTTTGTAATTCCTAAAAGTTTCCCTTTCTGATCTTTGTAAAACACAGAGAAATGCAGTATTATACCTATTTTATTTTCAAAGATCTACCATAGAAAACATTTCATTTTTAAACTTCTTTTTTAGTAAAAAAACAAAGAAACCCGGCAAGTGTTCTTTCAGGGTTTGTTTTTTTTCTTCTTGCGTGTAGTACACATTCATGAATGTCCACTAGGCGCAAGGGAAATTGTTTAGCTGCACAATGTATTCTATAATAGTGAGGTTATCCAACAGAGCAAAATGACAAATGTTTTCCAATCGGTGAGCTAAGAGTGAAACAAATGCAATAAGACTTGTTTTAATAATGAAACATTGCAGGTTTTAAATTTTTTTAAACAATGTTTGTAAACTTGCCCATAAAAGCTGGGTAATATTAAACAGCCAGTAAGGCACTTTGTCAGAGGGCGAAGTAGTAAAGGCTGGATGATTGGCAATTTGTTTAATAGGAAACATTCTATACTTAAAGAGAGCAAACTCTGAAGTGGGGCAGTCCTTTAACTGATTTACTGTCCAACAAGAGTGGGAAAAGCTTTAAAATTTTTAATTTCACTTTGTTGACCAATTTCCCTGCAGAAGAAGTCTTTTAGTTGTAAATTAAAAAATATATTAGGAGCTATCAATTTAAATAATGTATCATTTTTCAATCTAAGATTTAAAAGAATATTAACATATTCAGTAGTATTTTCAAAACATCCAAGCCACTCTTTAAAAATGAATTACAAAACAAATGATCTTAGTATAAAAATGTTTTATGTTATTAACAATTCCCTTGCGATTTCTGATGGCTTCACATATTACAGTATAAGCTTTGGTATAAAACATGCAAATGCAAGCCAACAAGGTCGTGAATACAGTGTTGCAAAATACAAAGCACTTATGAAACAAATGTTGCACAGACACAGCAGATGGAGAAAAGGTAACACACAGCTGTAGGACGACCAGTTTGCTCTTCTACTGCTTCTTAGTTTGTGGATTTTCCTTTTGGAAAATCTTCAGCAGAGGTTGACTCACGTAATAAGGTCTTGCAGGAGAACCATCGTTTCTTTCTAAATCTTCCACTAGGAGGAAGAATGGTACAGAGTAAATATCAAAGCAGAACTGTAAGAGAAGTAACATCGCCATCTGCTGTATACTTGCTTTACAGCAGTTCAAAATACTTATTTTTTTAAAACAGCATAGTTTGGCATCAACGTTACTGTAAACATAGTTATGAGAAAACAATCAGCCCTTGTTATGTCAGTAAGATGTTATTTCATTCTGTGTAACAGGTCAGATTCTGCAATATTGCATGTCTCTCAGTTGCATGATTGAGAAAATAACTTTCACCTTCATTTTTAAAATATACTTTCTAAATTACTATATTTGTTTAAAATTGATTTTGTTTTGCCATCAACAATTTAGATAGTACAGCATTGAAAAATAAATATTGTGAAATTTCAGACTTCAAGCACATCGACTGCAAGTTTTGAGGAATATTGCCTGTTTTTTTCACAGTTATTAGTTTGCTTTCTAAGAAAATGGCTTCCAAATATCTTCTCAAAAACAATGCTCATTTTTATTCTACATATTTGAATTACACAAATAAGTAGTAAATGGAGACTCTTTTTCTGACTAGATATTAGCCCATAATATAAATTGGCAACTACTTTCATGTGTTGATTTATGTTTTAGTCAAGTGATTTTTCAACTTTTTTTTTTGAGACAGAGTTTTGCTCTGTCACCCAGGCTGGAATGCAGTGGCGTGATCATGGTTAACTGCGGCCTTGACCTCTTGGGCTCAAGCAACCCTCCCGTTTCAGCCTCCTGAGTAGCTGAGACTACAGGTGTGTGCCAGCACACTTGGCTAATTTTTATATTTTTAATAAAGATGGGGGTTCGCCATGTTGTCTAGGCTAGTCTGGGACTCCTAGTCTCAAGCAATCTGTCCAGCTTGGACTCCCAAAGTGCTGGGATTACAGGTGTGAGCCACTGCATCTGGCCAATTTTTCAACTTTTATATATATCACAATCAGCTAGAGAACTTTATAATAATTCACATTGCGGCTCATATCAAATCACAATATATTAGAATCTCCTAGGCAGAGCACAGGCATCTATAGTTATAACAAATTCTCAGGTAGAGGTCACTATTCCACTAGTTCTTTGTTGTGCCCCTTGTCTCGTTGAATAATAAAATAATAATAATCTAGATAGATAAGTTGTCATTATTCTCTGCATTATGCTTCAAGAATAAGAATGCAGAAGGCTGCTTGCCAAAATGTGAAGCCGGGAGACACTTTTGAATACAATAATCTCAAGAATGTAAGCCAACAGCATTACATATTAAAAATCTTCCCTATTCATTGGCTTATTGCTATTAATTAATCTGCCACAGAGTCAATTTAAATCTAGGTTTCTACACTTGAAGATAATAAGTATTTATATCAATCTATAACACAATAATAGATTTCTGACTCTTTTCTTGGATATATGGGTGATATTCAGAGCAACATGTTAGATCAACATGTTCCCTTCTGTCAATACATACATAATCCTTATACATAAGCTTAAGGTAAAAGCCAAGAAGATACACATTGATTCAATGCTCCTTTTGGGATGCATTTTTACACCATTAACCACATCATACACATTCGCACACAGGGGATGGCTAGGCAATGTGTGTGTCTGATTCGTGCTTTGTTCTGTCATTCAAAACTTATGCATGACTACCAGAAACCTCTGGCCAGCAGGGGTGGCAGGTGGGCATAACCTTCCTCCTAAGCCCTGCGGGGAGAGTTCCTAACCTGCAGTATGCGTCGCATAAAGGATGATGAGGGCCGACAGTATATTTCCTTAGGGTAAAATCTGAAGTGTCTTACTTTTCTCTTTCCTTGCTGAAAGTTGAGACAAAATTAAGCCTTTTGTAGAACAAAACCACACAATCTCTTTAATCTAGAAATACAGGTATGCTCATGAAAAGATATAATCACTCTTCTGAAACAAATTCATACTGGTTTTCTATCTAGCGGAAATAGGAAATTTGGGTTAAAGACAAAAGGCATGAGTTATGTAGCAATTTCAGTTTGTTCAGAACATTTTCACCATGGACAGAGGTTCATGTTGTTGGAAATGACACTCCAGAACTCAGATTGGACTTCAATATAAACATCATTCCAATAAAACAGAATGGGCTATGAAGGTTCCACAGTAATTTTTACCCAGTAATGCTCTCTGTAGAACCTGTATAACATTAACATCTATGTTTGTTATGGACTTGACTCACTGAAATATACTTCCTAGGGAACCATTAATACAAGTTTAATCACAGTTTAGAGAGTTGTCCACCAGCTTGAACAGTATAAATATAACCATAGCACCATATTTACAAATTTAGTACCATATGCTGGTTAACTATAAATCAATATTTTTATGGCTAATAAATTACACATTTATAGTGTTTTTAAAAATTGCCTGAATATCCTTTACAAATATACACTTATAAAAAGAAAGGCTATCAAAGTGCTGCAATGGAAACAGCACACTGAGTTATAAAAGTTATTAAAACACTCTCGGCTACAGATTTTAAAAAACGTTTGACATTAACATTTTGATCTTTAGTTGGGACCACAGTCTATAAAGTAGACAGCAGCTAATGTCATCCAATGCCTGACACCTCAGGTGGTACCAGATGCTGACTTCTTAAAATTAAGCACAGAAATTTCACATTACTCAAAAGCAACATTTTCAAATTACAATCAACCTAATTTACACAACTTCTACTTAAATATGAGTGACACTGTTTGGAGCTTTTCTACTCTTTCTGCTTCTGGGGAACTAGTTGCTTCTTGATCAGAATTCCGTGCAGGTTAGGTGTTATGAAGTAGGGTTTTTCTGTAGATCCGTCATTTCTTTCCAGATCTTCACCTGTATATGCAGCAGCCAAAGCAGCGGCAGCAGGACAGTTAAACACGTTTTTACAAATTGAAGGGTCGAACAGGGAAAAATCAGAAAAATCAGTGTTAGTCAAATATAAGACAAATTGGCGCCATTTACTTGCTGATGCTGGGCAAAGCAAGAAGCCTTAATCTCTGCCAGGAAGCACTGAAACTTCATAAATCCCTCCCACTCCCAAAGAGATGTATTTTGATAGTTTAAAGGCTAAGGAGATATTCTACGTCCCTTCAAAAGTACCATCTTTAAATCTCGTATCTGTTCACTTCAGAAAGATATAAATTGCCAAATCCTCAGGGATGGAGCTGTATAGAAAGTGTATTAATTCTGTGATAAATATAGAATAATAACAGAATTTCAGGAAGTGTATTAATTCCGTGATACATGTAGAATAATAACGAAGTTTCAAGTCACTTCTAATGGTAGTCTATACTCTAATGTTATAGATGAAGACCGTGAAGCCCAGGATAATAAAATCACTGCTGAAGTCAAAAGCTCTGAGGTCAATAAGATGAGATAGGGATCCAGCCTCTTGACATCTAGTCTTGCTTTTGCTCTACTTAACTATAAGGCATCCTGTCCCAAATTCTTGCAGTCTTCCTCAGGTTATATCTGAAAGCAAATATCAATGTATTCTGACTCTTACAGTATGTTAATTTACCTTTCTGCTTTGCTTAGGCTAATATTAAGTTGATGGCATGTTCACTGTCCCCTCACCTGCTGGGTAGTTGGGGGAAAGCATCAGAATTATGCTGAGAAATAAGGATACATTTGCATGAAATTAAGTCTCCCACAGATACATACAATTCACAGCAGACAGTAGCTGTACTCTTGGGAATGGTTGTGTCATTGGTTTAGTAGATTTCTACATTAGACCTCACAGTGACCTTCCTCACATACGAAATGAAAAGCAAAGGAGGGAACATGATAGATGCTGAACAGTTTTGTCTTTTTGTCTTAATCCTATTTCTATACAATAGTCCTCTCTTATCCACAGCTTTGCTTTCTACAATTTCACTTCCTGTGGTTTTAGTTACCCAAGGTCCAGAAATATGAAATGCAAAATTCCAGAAATAAACAATTCATTAATTTTAAATTGTGTACTATTATGAGTAACATAATGAGACCTCAAACCGTCAAGCTCTGGCCCATCCTGGCAGGGAATCCTCCCTTTATACCAGCATCTCCTGACTGTCTACGATGCCCTTCCCTTAGTCACTTAGTAGCCTTCTCAGTTATCTATTGCACGATCACAGTGCTTGTCTTCAAGTAACCCTTATTTTAGTTAATAATGGCCCCAAAATACAAGAGTAGTGTTGCTGGCAATTTGGATATGCCAAAAGAAACTGTAAAGTGCTTCCTTTAAGTGAAAGGGTAAAAGTTCTCGAGTTAATAAGAAATAAATTTATGCTGAGGTTGCTAACATCTATATAAGAACAAATCTTTTTTCTTTTTGAGGTGAAATCTCATTCTGTCACCTAGGCTGGAGTGCAGTGGCGTGATCTCTGCTTGCTGCAGCCTCTGCCTCCCAGGTTCGAGGGATTCTGTTGCCTCAGCCTCTCAAGTAGCTGGGATTACAGGTGCCCGTCACCACACCTGGCTAATTTGTGTATTATTTGTAGAGACAGACTTTCGCCATGTTGACCAGGCTGGTCTCGAACTCTTGATCTCAAGTGATCTGCCTGCCTTGGCCTCTCAAAGTGCTAGGATTATAGGCGTGAGCCAACGCGCCCAGCAGAACAAATCTTTTTTTTTGAGACAGAGTCTTGCTTTGTCGCTAGGCGCCAGGCTGAAGTATAGTGGCACAATCTCGGCTCACTGCAACTTCTGCCTCCCGGGTTCAAGCAATTTTCCTGCCTCAGCCTCCCGAGTAGCTGGGACTACAGACATGCGCAACCACGCCCAGCTAATTGTATTTTTTTAGTAGAGACAGGGTTTCACCATGTTGGCCAGGATGGTCTCAATCTCTTGACCTAATGATCCACCCGCCTTGGCCTCCCAAAGTGCTGGGATTACAGGCGTGAACCACTGTGCCTGGCCAGAACAAATCCTCTGTATGTGAAATTGTGAAGAAGAAAAAAGAATTTTAAACTAGTTTTGTTGTTGCATGTCAAACTGCAAAATTTATGGCCACAGTGTATAAGTGATTAGTTAAGATGGAAAAGGCATTACATTTGTGGATGGAAGATGTGCACAGAAACATGTTCTAATTGACAGCAGTTGGGTTTGGTACTATTAGAGAATGCAGGCCTCTCCTGGGGGGTCTTGGAATGAATCCCCCATGATAAGGAGGGATTACTGCTATATATCACATATCTATCCTGTTTTTACCCTCAAGGTACTGGTAAGAAGTCTGCTCTGGATCACATTAATAATCATCTGCAACTATTACTTTTTTCCCACTCTAGGATCATGAATCTCAGTACCTTGTAATAATAAAAAGATGCTATGTTTCTATAAATGAAGTGTTTACCAATAGTTGGCACTGTAAAAAAAAAAAAAACCACACACACACATACACACATACCAGTTTTATGGCAGCCAAGATAATAGGTATAAATATATACCAGGCTGGTCTTGAACTCCTGACCTCATGATCCACCCACCTTAGCCTCCCAAAGTGCTGGGATTACAGGTGTGAGCCATCGTGCCTGGCATATATGTGTGTGTGTGTGTGTGTGCGTGTGTATGTATACATATATATATATTTCTACACAATCAGAATTCGGCTCAGGGCATCACTTAAGAATAATATTTTACAAAATATGATGTTGCCCATAGTAACTGCTGGGGCAGGAAGAGAAATACAATATAAGTTTCCTTGTTTTTTGTTATTGCAGACTAAAGTCTCTGAAAGGAGATGATTCATGTCAACATGAATCATCTAGACATTTCCTGAGACATATTTTGAGAAGCATTTTCAGCCACAAGAATGGGGAAGATCACACAGTGATCTCCAGATATTGCTCCCATGATTAGTGTTAGAGATGAGAGGAGAAATCTTTGAGCATTCCAGAGCCCTGTCTCCACCATGTTTTAGCACTTGACCTTACTCTTGTGCTCCTTCTTCCATCCCATACCTGAACTGGAGTTTGTTCATGTGACATTTTCTAGCTAGATGGCTTTTCTTAAACCACTGAAGCACTAAGAATATATTAAACATTTCAGTTTCATTTACAACCAGAGGAAGAGCTAACTAGTACATAAAGTTCTCCTGAATTCTTTGTCTGGTTATTGAGAATTAATTTTAACATGGTCAGAAACAAACAAACAAACAAATGAAAAACAAGGCCAAACTACTTTCTAGGAGGTTTCTTTGAATATATCTCCCTAAAGTTATCTTCTCTCTTGATCCCAGTGTGAAGTTGGTGCTGTGGATTACTCTAAAATGCAAACTGTAACTTTTGTACCTGCAGATTGCTCGGTAATGCCCTGTCAGAAAATAAGTGTTCTCTGTTTCTCTTAAGGGCAATATGCTAGAGAAATAATCTCTCAAGATGTGTAGTTGTGCAGCTAACAAGTTATGCTCTTTTACTTGCTGACTCTACTTTCTGCTGGTTTGCCAAAGAAATGGCATTGAAGGTGAGAGCCAGATCAAGCTTCTGATAGGTACTACGTTCTCTAGGACTTTTCAGGTAAGGTACTAATATAAAAAATAAATCATTTTTTTTTCTCAGAGCCAGGATCTTGCTCTGTTACTCAGGCTGGAGTACCGTGGCACAATCATAGCTCACTACAGCCTTAAACTCCTGGACTCAAGTGATCCTCCACCTCAGCCTTCCGGGTAGCTAGGACTACAGGTGCATGCTACCATGCCTGGCAAATTTATTTATTTATTTTGTAGAGATAGGGTCTCACTATGTTGCCGAGGCTTGTCTCAAGCTGGGCTTCAAGCAATTCTCACTGTCTTGGCTTCTCAAAGCACTGGGATTACAGGTATGAGCCACAGTGCCTAGCCAAAAAGGAAAACCCTATTTTTGTATGGGAGCTGCATAGGTAACTATGGAAGCAACGTGTATAAGTCAGTGATGGAAGCTCTAAAGAAATATTTTAACTCTACATATCAAAATTAATCCGACTATTTCCTAAAAGTACTCCTCTCTAAATCCTATCCCTTTGTCATTGTGATGCAGAGTGTAAATTGGCCCTATTTGTCCTTGAAACCACCTTGCCATCTTGGCTTTATCAGAATCTATAAATACTCTCCTCAAAGAATTCCACATATCTAGTTCCCAGAGCCTAGTTATCTCTTCAGTTCTGTTAACAAAGCACAACAGAAGCCAATTATTATTATTGACTTAAAAACAAATCAAGAAATGAACAAAATAATTTCATGTTAGCACCATGCCATGAAGCCTGGGTTTATTTCAGTAGTTGACTCTTCTGTGCTTTGCAAACCATTCTCTTAGCTGGTAAGATTTCTTTTTCAATTTTATATTTTTCCTCAAGTTTTGTTAAGGTATAATATTTTCCCCCAATGTTACTGAGGTATAATTAACAACAATTGTAAATACTTAAGGTGCATAGTGTTTTGATATATGCATATATCGTAAAATTGCCACAGTCACGCTAATGAACATGTCCATAACCTCCCATAGTTATCTTTTTGTGTGTGTGGTGAGACTACTTAAGATCTCAGCAAATTTCAAGTTAAGAGTACAGTATGATTAACTCTAGTCACCATGCTGTACGTGAGAGTGCCATAATTTATTCATCCTGCATAACTGAAAGCTTGTACCCTTTGACTAACATTGCTCCGTTTTACTGTCCCCTCCATCTCTGTGTCTATGAGTCTGACTTTTTTAGATTCCACATGTAAATGAGATAATAAAGTATCTGTCTCTCTGCATCTGACTTATTTCTCAGGTATTAAGGTTTAAAGAGCAGCTATTAAGAAATATCTCTTTCCAGATAAATATGTTTTGTGGTTACAGTCAGGTAACTGCAGATCCCCAAGCCAGCTAAGGACATGGGCCTTCACCATCTCACCTTTTAGTTATACACTGAAAGGGGAAAACACACATACTGAATACTCACAGAAGCAGATGAAAATTGTTTCAACACACATTGCATAGACGCTGAAGAACCCATGTGCAATCAGGTAAGACCCAAAAATGACCGTCTGTAAATGGTAAAGAAGAGAACCAACATGTTATATACTTCGTCCAGAAGAAGAATAACGCAGCTGTAAATGAAAGCTGTGATGAGAAAGTTTTGAAGTACTCTGTATTGGAAAATATTTCAACATAGAGACCAAAAAGTTCAGTGATAATTCTTTTGCATGCTTTGTTCTGAGACTTAAACACGTTTTATTAAATTACCTGCCTTTTCTCTTTTGGTAGTATTATTTTTCTTTCTTTTTTTGTTAATAAAACAGAAGTGTATTTCTCCCTAGGGTAACAGTTTATAATAGGTGTTCCAGTTAATAGAACAACCCTTCTCAACACAGTGATGCAGGGACTCTGGACATATGCCTAGCTCTTTAGAAGAATGAGAGAACAGATTTCTTTATCAAGCAAAGTGACTTTGGCAATGATATTTTATGTCTCTTCAATCAGTTGATGCCAGTGTTTTTTATTTCTGGAATATATTTTTTAATTTTTTTAAAAATTTTATTTATTTTACTTTAGGTGCATACTATATCTGGCATTTCTCCCCATGTTATTCCTCCCCCCCCTCCCTGCCCACCCCCCACTGTCTCTCCCCTACCCCTGCCAAGTGTCCCCAGTGTGTGATGCTCCTCTCCCTGAGTCCATGTGTTCTCATTGTTCAACACCCATCTATGAGTGAGAACATACGGTGTTTGGCTTTCAGTTCCTGTGTCAGTTTGCTGAGAATGATGGTTTCCAGATTCATCCAAGTCCCTACAAAGGACATGAACTCGTCATTTTTTATGGCTGCATAGTATTCCATGGCGTATAAGTACCACATTTTCTTTGTCCAGTCTATCATTGATGGGCATTTGGGTTGGTTCCAGGTCTTTGCTATTGTACACAGGGTTGCAATGAACATACGTGTGCATGTGTCTTTATAGTAGAATGATTTATAGTTCTTTGGGTATATACTCAGTAGTGGGATTGCTGGATCAAATGGAATTTCTATTTCTAGATCCTTGAGCAATCGCCACATTGTCTTCAACAACGGTTGGACTAATTTACACTCCCAACTGTGTAAGAGTGATCCTATTTCTCCACATACTCTCCAGCATCTGTTGTCTCTAGATTTTTTAATGATCACCAGTCTAACTGGCATGAGATATCTCAATGTGGTTTTGATTTGCATTTCTCTAATGACCAGTGATGATGAGCATTTTTTCATATGTTTGTTGGCCTCATATATGTCCTTTTGAAAAGTGTCTGTTCATATCCTTTGCCCAATTTTGAATGGGGTTTTTTTTTTTCTAGTATATCTGTTTCAGTTCTTTGTAGATTCTGGATATTGTCAAAATCTACCCTTTGTCAGATGGGTAGATTGCAAAAATTTTTTCCCATTCTGTTGGTTTCTGATTCACTCTAATGATGGTTTCTTTTGAAAAGCTCTGGAGTTTAATTAGAAGCTCTGGAGTTTAATTAGATTCCATCTGTCTATCCTGGCTTTTATTGCCATTGCTTTTGGTGTTTTAGTCATGAAGTCCTTGCCTACGCCTACGTCCTGGATGGTTTTGCCTACATTTTCTTCTAGTGTTTTTATGGTGTTAGGTTTTATGTTTAAATCTTTGATCCATCTGGATTTAATTTTAGTGTAGGGTGACAGGTAGCGGTCCAGTTTCTGCTTTCTGCACATTGCTAGCCAGTTTTCCCAATACCATTTATTAAACATAGAGTCATTTCCCCATTGCTTGTTTTTGTCAGGTTTGTAAAAAATCAGATGGTTATAGATGTGTGGTGTGTGTGGTGTTTCTTCTGGGGTCTCTGTTCTGTTCCATTGGTCTATGTCTCTGTTTTGGTACCAGTACCATGCTGTTTTGATTACTGTAGCCTTGTAGTATAGTTTGAAGTCTGGCAGTGTGATGCCTCTGGCTTTGTTCTTTTTGCTTAGGATTGTCTTGGCTATGCAGGGTCTTTTGTGATTCCATATGAAGTTTAAAGTGGCTTTTTCCAGTTCTGTGAAGAAGGTCATTGGTAGCTTGACGGGGATAGCATTGAATCTATAGGTTACTTTGGGCAGTATGGCCATTTTCATGATATTGGTATGTCCTAACCATGAGCGTGGAATATTTCTCCATCTGTTTGTGTCCTCTCTTATTTCATTGAGCAGTGGTTTGTAGTTCTCCTTGAATAGGTCCTTTAGGCCTTGGCTACAACTCTGGCATAGGGCAGCTTCTCCTGCTACCTATCCTGCCCTCACTTTCTTACCAGTGTATCTCAGGAAACAGCTTCCTGACATACTTTCTGCATGTAATCCTCTGTCTTAGATTTGTCTCCAAGGAACCCAGTCTCTAAAGTGGAATGTGGGTTGGTATAAAATAAGGCCAATAATGTTAGCTATCATTATTACTTCTATTCCTTTTTAGAATTGTGCTATCTTTGATAAAACACAGACTCAACAAGAGCCAGCTGCTAGGGAGTGAATTGCGTGCACTCTAAATTCATTTGTCAAAGCCCTAAGCCCCAATGTGACTTGAAGGTGGGAACTTTGGGAGGTGATTAGGTCAGGAGGATTAGATTAGTGTCCTTTATAAGAAGAGAAATGATAGAGATAATCTCTGTCTCTCCCCACCATGTGAAGATATGGGAAGGTGTATTTCTGCACACCAGTAAGAGGGCCCTCACCAGAAATCAAGTCAGCTGACACTTTGATCTTGGACTTCCCAGGCTTCAGAATGGTCAGGAATAAATTTCTTTTAAGTTTTAAGTCTATAGCATTTTTGTTATAACAGCCTGGACTGACTCAGATACCAGGTCTTACCAGCAAAGGTACCCAGTAGTAATTTAAAGATGTTGGTCCTTGTGCAATCACTGGTAATCTTTGTGTGAAGAATAGGAAGGCCAGAACACCTACATTGAAAAGGTAGAACATGTATATTATACATTTGCAAAGGAATATAGTTTTTTTTTTTTGTAGTAAAGCAGTTCTTCCAAGCATCTTTTAAACTTTTTAATTATTTTTATCATTATTACTTACCTATACTTCCAGCAACTAGAATTTTCCCCAGGAATAATACAAAGTATGTAACTTCATCTGTAACTGCAACCCTGAGTGTCAGAAAAAAAAAGAAAGTATAATTTTGTGTTTAAAATATACTTGGTACTTGAAATTTATGGCAGTAAATATTCATGAGTTTATTTTGGTATGTCTTTGCTGGAACTGTATTTGGCAACTGTTTTGCACGAAATGAAGGTGGAACTTATGGATGATGTTCTGACTTATTTTTAATGTAAACAGAAGATGGCATTGTAGGGCCGTCAGGAGCCCTGCAGTGGTGGTGTCGGTCTCTCTCTCTCTCTAATTTGAAGCCTATAGACACGCTGAGTCTTCATGCTGTATTCTTCTCTGATTTTGTTCACTCAGGCTCCACCAATTCTGGGAGGGGGAAAGATGATACTGTGGTTCACCTGGGGGAATTTCTTGAGCAGAGGGGATAATAAAAATGAAAAAATGCCGGTGGGCATAAAGACTCAGGTGAATGATGGATGCAACAGTTCTCAGATATGAAAATAAATTAATGATATGAGATATTTAAATCTATCAAGTTAAAAGATAATATTCATATCTAATAATCCCACCAGCACTTTAAATAACAACACGTGAAGGATGTCATGTTCAAGGTTCACTAAATTGTTGAATTACAATGTTCAGCCTGATTACTTACTTTAAAACATTTCTCATCAGCAGATTGAAAGCATCTTTTGCTGACCTGCAGAAGTTTCTGCCATATATTGCAATCTGAGGAAGACAGTTGATATTATTCCAGAGTCAGTAACACACTCTAGCAAAATCAAAGGACAATCCAATGACAGGAAGGTAACCAAATTAATTCCTGTCATTTGTAGGGCTATCCCAACTCTTATTTCTAACATGTGGATCTGTGGGACACGCTGTGTGTCCTCAGCTCTACAGAACTCTCAGGGTCACTGACAATCAGGTGTGCTTCAGATGCTGTATGCCCTCAAAGTCTGAGGAATTCGACATCCTTAAACAGAGGCAGGTCTTTTTTCTCAAATTCCAGATAATAGCTTCTGTCTTTAAAACGTTTTGGCTAGAGTTTATTGCTGAAAAGGTTAAATACTGAAGTCTCTACATAAAAAATTTCTCTTAAGGAAACCCAGTGCCTTTCATTACACTTGATTTACTGATTAAAAGGCTCAACATAATACTCTCACTGGAGGTAAATTAATGACTATTTGAATCTCCATAACTATTCCAATCACTTTTCCAGACCCTGTGCTACTTATGATAATAAGCAAATGTCATAAGGTTATACTTTAGCTTTCTAAGTTTTGGAAGAATTATATTTCTGGATCCCATATGCTAAAATACCACTAAGGAGTTTCCATTTTGCATAGGAAACAAGTAAAACTCTGTCAAGCATTGTCAGTGTTCACACATTTTGCCACAGATTCATAAAAAGGATAAGACCCTTCTTTAAAATTATGTAAATTCCAGAATTAGAAAGTATTTCCTTTTCAGAGATTAAATATGATTTCTTCTCACTAAACTATGACAAAGACACACACAACCATTTTCTATCCAACACACTTAAAAGTTTCCAATGTACATAATATTGTTTCTCTCAAAAAAGATTGAAGGTAATAATAAAATATAGTTCAGATACTATCTCAACTAGGGAAGCATATCCCTGAATTGTGCATTGGATGCACAGTCCTTCTATCAGCATGGTGATAAATTCAACTGCATAATGTAAAAGTGCTTTAGAAAGGGCAATGTAGACATAAGGTTTGGGATTGCAAAGAAGCAGCTTAGTAAATAAAAAATAATCTACCTACCATAATATAGGCATTTCTGTTTAAAAACTTTATTGCATTTTCCAAACACCAGAAACAGCATCTCAGGCAGCATTTTAGGAATTTAGAAAGTGTGTTCTGGGTACCTATGAGAAGGAGGTATTTAAATCTACTAATGATTTGCAGCTGAACCTTATGAATCAAACTAAATAATAATACAACATTTAGAATGAGATTTAAAATTTCATATTGTCATAAAATATACATAATATAAAATTTGCTATTTGAACCATTTTTAAGTGTACAGTTCAGTGGCAATGAATACATTTATAATGTTGTACAACCATCACTGCTATCCATTTCCAGAACTTTAAAACCTCAAATAGAAATTCTATGCCTTTCAATAGTAACTCCTCATTCCCTTCTTCCCCCAGTGCCTAGTAACTTCTATTATATTTTTTGTCTCTATAAATTTGCTTCTTCTAGGTGTCTCAAATAAAAGGAATCATATAATATTTATCCTTTTATATCTTGCTTATTTCACGTAGCATGATGTTGTCAAGGTTCATCATTTCCTTCCTTTTTAAGGTTGAATAATATTTCATTGTATATTTTCCCAGCACCATTAGTTGAAAAGACTAATTTTGTTTATTTATTCATTTGTTGATGGAAATGTGGGTTGTTTATACCTTCTGGCTATTCTGAATAATGCTGTTATCAACAGTGATGCGCAAGTATCGGTTTGAGTTCCTGCTTTCAATTCTTTGCATATATATCGAGATGCAGGATTTCTGGGTCACATAAAATTATATTTTAATTTTTTTTAGAAACTGCCATACCATTTTCTACAGTGACTACACCATTTGGCATTCCTTCCAGCAATACACAAGGGTCCCAATTTCTCCACATTCTTACCAAGTTGTTATTTTCTGGTTTTTGTGGGGTTTTTTTTTTCATATATATAATAGCCATTCTAATGTGTATGGAGTAGTATCTCATTGTGGTTTTGATTTGTATTTCTCTAATGACTAGTGATATTAAGCATCTTTAAAATATATATATATATCTTATTGCATTTTAGGTTTTGGGATACATGTGAAGAACATGCAGGATTATTGCATATGTACATACATGGCAATGTGGTTTGCTGCCTTCCTCCTGATCACCTATATCTGGCATTTCTCCCCATGTTATCCCTCCACAATTCCCGCCCACCACTGTCCCTTCCTTAGTTCCCCCCACAGACTTCACTGTGTGATGCTCCCCTCCCTGTGTCCATGTGTTCTCATTGTTCAACACATGCCTATGAATGAGAACATGTGTTTTATTTTCTGTTCTTGTGTCAGTTTGCTGAGAATGATGCTTTCCAGATTCATCCATGTCCCTACAAAGGACACGAACTCATCGTTTTTGATGGCTGCATAGTATTCCATGGTGTATATGTGCCACATTTTCCCTGTCTAGTCTATCATCGATGGGCATTTGGGTTGGTTCCAAGTCTTTGCTATTGTAAACAGTGCTGCAATGAACATTCATGTGCATATGTCCTTATAATAGAACGATTTATAATCCTTTAAATATATACTCTGTAATGGGAATCCTGGGTGAAATGGAATTTCTATTTCTAGGTCCTTGAGGAATCTCCACACTGTCTTCCACAATGGTTGAACTAATTTACACTCCTACCAACGGTGTAAAAGTGTTCCTATTTCTCCATATCCTCTCCAGCATCTGTTGTCTCCAGATTTTTAATGATCGCTAATCTAACTGGAGTGAGATGGTATCTCAATGTAGTTTTGATTTGCATTTCTCTAATGACCAGTGATGAGGAGCATTATTTCATATGTTTGTTGGCCTCATGTATGTCTTCTTTTGAAAAGGGTCTGTTCATGTCCTTTGCCCACTTTTTAATGGGCTTGTTTCCTTCTTGTAAATATGTTTTAGTTCTTTGTAGATTCTGGATATTAGCCCTTTGTCAGATGGGTAGATTGCAAAAATTTTTTCCCATTCTGTTGGTTGTCAATTCACTCTAATGATTGTTTCTTTTGCTGTGCAGAAGCTCTGGAGTTTAATTAGGTCCCATTTGTCTATTTTGGCTTTTGTTGCCAATGCTTTTGGTGTTTTGGTCATGAAGTCCTTGCCTATGCCTATGTCCTGGATGGTTTTGTCTAGGTTTTCTTCTAGGGTTTTTATGGTGTTAGGTCTTATGTTTAAGTCTTTAATCCATCTGGAGTTAATTTTAGTGTAAGGTGTCAGGAAGGGGTCCAGTTTCTGCTTTCTGCATGTGGCTAGCCAGTTTTCCCAACACCATTTATTAAACAGGGAATCCTTTCCCTATTGTTTGTTTTTGTCAGGTTTGTCAAAGATCAGATGGTTGTAGATGTGTGGCGTTGCCTCTGAGGCCTCTGTTCTGTTCCATTGGTCTATATCTCTGTTTTGGTAACAGTACCATGCTGTTTTGATTACTGTAGCCTTGTAGTATAGTTTGAAGTCAGCTAGTGTGTTGCCTCCAGCTTTGTTCTTTTTGCTTAGAATTGACTTGGCTATGCAGGCTCCCTTTTGGTTCCATATGAAGTTTAAGGTGGTTTTTTCCAGTTCTGTGAAGAAGGTCATTGGTAGCTTGATAGGGATAGCATGGAATCTATAAATTACTTTGGGCAGTATGGACATTTTCACAATGTTGATTCTTCCTAACCATGAGTATGGAATGTTTCTCCATCTGTTTGTGTCCTCTCTTATTTCATTGAGCAGTGGTTTGTAGTTCTCCTTGAAGAGGTCCTTTACATCCTTTGTTAGTTATATTTCTAGGTATTTTATTCTCTTTGTAGCAATTGTGAATGGCAGTTTATTCTTGGTTTGGCTCTCTGTTTGTCTGTTATTGGTGTATAGGGATGGTTGTTATTTTTGCACATTGATTTTGTATCCTGAGACTTTGCTGAAGTGGCTTATCAGTTTCAGGAGATTTCGGGCCAAGATGATGGGATCTTCTAAATATACAATCATGTTGTCTGCAAATGGAGACAATTTGATTTCCTCCTTTCCTAATTGAATACGCTTTATTTCTTTTTCTTGCCTGATTGCGCTGGCTAGAACTTCCAATACTATATTGAATAGGAGTGGTGAGAGAGGGCATCCTTTTAGTGCCAGATTTCAAAGAGAATACTTCCAGTTTTTGCCCATTCAGTATGATATTGGCTGTGGGTTTGTCAAAAATAGTTTTTATTATTTTGAGATACATTCCATCAATACCTAGTTTATTGAGAGTTTTTAGCATAAAGGGCTATTGAATTTTGTCTAAGGGCTTCTCTGCATCTATTAAGATAAACGTGGTTTTTTCCTTTGGTTCTGTTTATGTGGAGAATCATGTTTATAGACTTGTGTAGGTTGAACCTGCCTTGCATCCTCATGATGAGACCTAGTTGATCGTGATGGATAAGCTTTTTGATATGCTGTTGCAATCAGTTTGCCAATATTTTGTTGAAGATTTTTGCATCTATGTTCATCATGGATATTGGCCTGCTGTTTTCTTTTCTTGTTGAGTTTCTGCTGGGTTTTGGTATCAGGATAATGTTGGTCTCATAAAATGATTTGGGGAGGATTGCCTCTCTTTGGATTGTTTGAAATAGTTTCAGAAGGAGTGGTACCAGCTCTTCTTTGTATGTCTGGTAGAATTTGTCTGTGAACCCATCTGAACTTGGGCTTTTTTTTGGTGGGTAGGCTATTAATTGCTGCTTCAACTTCAGCCCTTGTTATTGGTCTTTTCAGGTTTCAACTTCTTCCTGGTTTAGGCTTGGGAGGGTGCCAGTGTCCAGGAATTTATCCTTTTCTTTGAGGTTTACTGGTTTATGTGCACAGAGCTGTTTGTAGTAATCTCTGATGGTGGTTTGTATTTCTGTGGAATTGGTGGTGATATCCCCTTTATTGTTTTTACTGCATCTACTTGATTCTTCTCTCTTTTCTTTTTTATTAATCTGGCTAGTGGTCTATTTTGTTGATCTTTTCAAAAAACCAGCTCCTGGATTTGTTGATTTTTTTTTTGAAGGGTTTTTTGTGTCTCTAGCTCCTTCAGTTCTGCTCTGATCTTAGTTATTTCTGTCTTCTGCTAGGTTTTGAGTTTTTTCGATCCTGCTCCTCTAGCTCATTCAAATTTGACAATAGGGTGTCGATTTTAGATCTTTCCTTGCTTCTCATGTGGGCATTTATTGCTATATATTTTCCTCTAGACACTGTTTTAAATGTGTCCCAGAGATTCTGTTATATTGTGTCTTCGTGTTTATTGGTTTCGAAGAATATCTTTATTTCTGCCTTCATTTCATTGTTTGTCCAGTCAACATTCAAGAGCCAGTTGTTCAGTTTCCATGAAGCTGTGTGGTTCTGTGTTAGTTTCTAAATTCTGAGTTCTAACTTGATTGCACTGTGGTCTGAGAGACTGTTTGTTATGATTTCTATTCTTTTGCATTTGCTGAGGAGTGGTTTACTTCCAATTATGTGGTCAATTTTAGAGTAGGTGTGATGTGGTGCTGAGAAGAATGTATATTCTGTGGATTTGGGGTGGAGAGTTCTGTAAATGTTTATTAGGTTTGCTTGTTCCAGGTCTGAGTTCAAGTCCTGGATAGCCTTGTTAATATTCTGTCTCGTTGATCTGTCTAATATTGACAGCGGAGTGTTAAAGTCTCCCGCTATTATTGTGTAGGGTAAGTCATTAAGAACTTGCTTTATGTATCTGGGTGCTCCTGTATTGGGTGCGTATATATTTAGGATCGTTAGCTCTTCTTGTTGCATTGATCTTTTTACCATTATGTAATGTCCTTCTTTGTCTCTTTTGATCTTTGTTGGTTTAAAGACTATTTTATCAGAGACTAGGACTGCAACTCCTGCTTTTTTTGCTCTCCATTTGCTTGGTAAATTTTCCTCTCTCCCTTTATTTGAGCCTATGTGTATCCTTGCATGTGAGATGGGCTTCCTAGATACAGCACACCAATGGGTTTTGACTTTTTATCCAATTTTCCAGTCTGTGTCTTTTGATTGAGGCTATTTACATTTATGGTTAATATAGTTATGTGAATTTGATCCTGACATTTTGATGCTGGCTGTTTGTTCTGCCTTTTAGTCGATGCAGTTTCTTCATTGTGTCGATGCCCTATAT